ACACTATGGACACGGTCCGTGTCACTAGTTAAAAATTGCTTATTTTTCTGGATTTAAACATTCTTCGAAACATTTGGGATAATGTAAGTACACAAGTCAGCAAAATATATAACACTGTTCTAGTGGTTTTTGGATATTTTAATAAAAAAAATCTTACATATTGTGCCTTTAATTAAAATAAATATATAAATACAAAAATTCTATTAAAAATATTAATAAATGATATAATAGTAAATAAAATGACCAAAAAATCTAATCAAATACTAAAATAACTCTTCTTGAAATATATCAAAAACAAAGAATTTTGGTATCGGTATGCTCTCTACAGATGAGTCACAGGACAGAATGTGATATTAGAGATACAGCATGTTGAGTGTGTCACAACCGTTTTGTTACATTGCTTTGCCGAAGAATTATATATATTTTTTTTTTTTATGGAATAAGTTGACTTTGTAGGACACTATATTATTTTTAGTACTATTTGAGCCATGTTGTTATAATATTTTTCTGGACATATATCATAGTCATACCATGGTATTCTTTGAAGTATCTTAAAGTAATATGTAAATGCAATGGTAATCATTCAGTACCATGGTATATATCAAAGTACCATGGTATACCATCAATGTCAGGGTGTGTTTTTATAAGGAAACAATCAGAATACACTTCAATTAAAAGTAATGAAGTGCACTAATCAAAAACACTCTCTATTAGCACCTCTGAGAGTAGACGCATCAGGTTCAAACATGTTCAGCTGCGAGTTATCACGAGAGATTTTCTGTTATTCATATATTCATCCAAACATCTGATGAGATTTTTCTTCCCCAAAGAAGATGAGAGAAGGGGAACAGATGGTCCAAGGCCTCACTCCGCTGCTGAGCCGGTCTCTGGCTTTCACACCCAGCACTTAAACCAAACAGACTGGTATGACAACAGCCAGCACCCAGCATCAGCCATGGGTACGGCAAGCGTAGGGAGTTCTGCCTCAAAAGCGATTGGGTAACCAGAGGACAGCAGGATCTCACACTGGCTGTCTCTTCAAAGATCTTCAGAGAGCCGTGAGCTAATTGGCTGGCACGAGTTGAAAGCGAGCGAGTACTGTAAGAACACTGTGTCCTGACCTTAGTTTCTGGAAGCCACGGCTGTCACCAGCATAAGAACTCTATGTGCTCTGCTGCCGAAAGGCTGGTCACATGAGACACAAGAATTTTATTCAAGAAGACTCCTAAGACTCGGCTCTTTTATACCTTGACGTGCATTTATCTATTCACCCTTCTTCATTTGTGTCCTTGATTATTTTAGACACATTTGTAAACAGTTTATAGCAGCTGAAATTTGTCCTATGTTTCAGTATATCTACTGTTCTAAAATAAAGGACACATTCGGGACAAGTTGGGACACCTGAAAGAAACTGTCTGATCAGAAATGGGACATCTGGTCGGCGTAGCAACTCAACCATCAATGTTGATGATAAGCCTCGAGAGTTCATTACACTGTTATCTTGACAATGATTGACAATCTCGATGGGCGGGATATAGAGAGTTTGTGCAAGGTCACAAGCATGTGAAGAACAGGATCTTTAGCGATTCTTGGAATGTAATCGCCTAGATAAGATGCATTCCTTCAGAAACGCACTGCTTAGGAGTCCATTTCTCCCTGAATATTACTCAATGTGACGCTCTGATTGTTTCTTTGTTTGTTGCATAACAAACACTGGTTACACTGGTTATCACTCCAATAATTGATGTCATGCCCCTTGAACTGTGTTGCTGTAAACTACTGCAAATAGAGGCAGCTTTCCCATCATTAAAAGCCACAGATGGATTTTTAGTGTAATGGATTATTCTTGTTGTATAAATAGTTACCATTAACTGTTTCTTTTCTGGTATTCCATATTTTACCTAAGTCTGCTCGGATATTGTGAGATCCATCATTATTAATATGTTTGCAGCCATTGAAATCATATATAAGTGAATAAAATAATTGGTATTCATATAATTCCTTTATTTCTAAGTTTCCTTCCAACCCACTTTTAGAGTAATGTTGCAAGGTTGCTTTGGAATAATATTTCTTTTCAAAACTACAAATAACAAATGTATAGTACTATTTTACATCCAGCAGTACTCTAATATTGGATAAAAGCTTAATAAAATGTAAATATATAATAAGTAATGACATTTTTATTCATAAAAAATATATAGCTTTCATTCTAATTTAAAAAGGGCATCAGCATGTGGGGGTGGGTCCTTGGCATTCACTACATTTGTTTAATGTATGAAATCTAGTTCAGTATCAAGGGTCATCTTACTATGAATGTGTAGTTCGGCACAAATCTGACACATAAAATCAGACGTCATCCTAACAATTTGCCTTTCTAGGCTAAATATGGCCCAAAGGTGTAATTTAGAAAGATCAACCAGCGAACACTGCACAAAGAGGTGGTGACATGCCTCTAGTTATCATTATGTAGCCTGAACTACATCATAGATGATTCAGTATCGTTTTAATTTACACTCTAATTAGCACTGCTTAATGGTAGCTACCCTGGCTTCTCAGTGAGTAATGCGCTGCCTACTCAGCGCGACGCAACAGCTGCGCAGGTAGATGGCGTCAATCGCTCAATCTAAAGCCAGCGGCTTTAAACGCAACTAAACGAGGTCCTGCGTTACGTAACAGTCGAATGTACGTTTATATGTTTATATATA